GTGCAGAATGGGGATGGGGTAGATAAATGGGAGAGGGGTTTCTCCTAAAGGGGGTGTTTTTTGATCCATGTGGTAGGTCAGACGCATGTACTTATCTTTTGCCAATTAAGCGCCACTTTTCACTGGTTCTGGAGGCTCAAGTAGACTCTCTGCCACTCGGTCTTTCCGGACATGGAAAACACCTCCTGAGCACCACAACTTGCTTCGTCACACACACCAGCTGATCCAGCCCGAAGATTGCCAGCTCCCACCAGGTCAGGTCTGGCAACTCCTCGCTGCTTCCAAACCGTCTCTCCCTCCCTCTGCCACTCAGTCTGATTCTTCAACTTTGCCTTTAATGTTCAGGGGGCTCCTAGATTGTCATATATAATCGATTCACTTGTTTTTTGGGGTCTTTGTTGTAAGAGGGACCACAGGAAGCATCTGACTACTCTGCCATCTTGGCCCCACCTTTGAGTTCCTCTTTTTAAAGTAATATTTTATTGTATATTTGGTGAAAGTTTACACATAAATTAGATTCCCATTTGACAATTTATATACAAATTGTTCAGTGACATTAGTTACATTTTTCACAATGTGTCAAACTTCTCTTTAATTGTGTTCTGGTTGTTCTGTTTCCAGTACTCTAGTTTTCCTTCCCCCAATCTCTTCATCTCTGCTTTAGAGTAAATGTTGACGTTTTGGTCTCATATAGATTTTTTTTCAAAAGTAGAGCACCTACAAGTAATGTCCTCTATTTTGAGTGCCACTGTTATTATGCTAAAAGATGATCTCAGAGGATAGTTTCAGTGAAAGGTTGAAGGAGTATCTCAGGGTGATGGTCTCAGGGAGTCCTCTGCTCTCAACGGGTCCAGTTAAGTCTGGACTTTTTAAGAATTTGGGTTCTGTTCTGCTATAATGAGTTCCTTTTTAACAAGAATATATACTTTTTTAAATTTCTCACTGTCTCGATTAGGATCTTTTTCATAACTTCTCATTCTTGTTTCACGAATGTGACTCCTTCCTTGATCTCTCCAAGTATAATAAACACAGTCATTTTTAAAGTTCTTTTCTTATGCTTTATTGACTCAGATGTATATTCATCCATTCAATTTTGTCATCTGTCTTGAATGGAGTTGGCTTTCCACAAATGTTTGGTGAGTCTTAGTTGTGTCCTCACCTTAGTAGCTAAAAGTGCCTGTTGGACAGCTGGGTGGGATTGCTGCTGTAACTTGGAGGGTTTTCAGTGAGAATGAGAGAGGGGCACAATATGCTGCAATTTGGGGGCTCTTCGCCTAAGCATTAATGCTTCTTGTTTCTGCCAGGTGCTGCTAGCCATCTGAAGTACCACCTGGTCTCTGATCCAAGCGGACACCCCTACTGTCCTCATCTAAAGGCCGATATCCTCATCTTTGCCCCTTGGTCCATGTGGAGCAGAAGAATGTGCAATGGTCAATCGACCTGGCTGCTCCCCCTAGGAAACCTAACTAATCACAGGCCATTACCCTCTGGGGTCTTTTCTGCTTTGTTTGCCCACCTCTAGGCATGGAGGAGCATTCAGCAGAACTCTTTCCCATGCACCCTGCCCTGAGGTTCTGGAGTATGATCTCCCATCTATTTTCTGTCTTCTCTGGAATCCTGTTTCTAGCCTACTGAGAATCTCCCTTGTTCTCAAGTGGAACTATGTATGGTGTTTGTTCGTTGTGTTTTGCTTACATCTATTGTATCTATGAATTTGGTATAGGGGAGGAAAGACTGCAGTACGTGTTCAAGTTACCATATTGAAACAGGAGCCTTGTCTCTCATGTTTCCCCTTTCCCAGGTCTTTTTCTCCCTCCACTATTGTGCCCCCACTCCAAACACCTGGTCCTGGAACCAGGGGCTCAGGAAGCTGCTAAACCTTCTTCTCAGGAAAAGAAACTCAAGAGCTGCTTGGTCCTCTTGGTGTTGAATAGTGTTTGCCTCAGCTGCCCCTTGCATGTCACTTCTGGGTTCTAAAGTCAAGTCCAAAGCACAGCATGAGCCATCCCTCCAAAGAGTCCTTTGTCCCAGATAGAGTTCAGCATAGATTTTGTGAAAATAGACTTTATTATAATAAAATGTCTTTTTTAACAAATACTCCCACAATTCCACACACCTGGAGACCAGGGTAAAGGTGCGGGTTCATTCAAACAATCTTCCACCATAGCGAAGGAAACATGCAAAGAGACACTCACCCAGCCATAGGGTGGGGGTGAGGTGGTTAGGGTAAGGGTGGGGAACCCCTTACCCTAAACAAGAAATGTATGAAAATAGCTTCATATGTCTGTCTTTCCCCCCAGCCCCCGCACTCCGACAGAGGCCAGAGGAAAATGATGCAAAAGAGAACTTGAATCCGATGAGCAAAATAAGGCAAACCCAACTCCTGCTTTCTGCCCGTGGGCCCCTGGGCCTTTGGGGTGGGAACACGCAGGGGGCCCAGAAGCCGGGTTGGCAGGGAGGGGTGGAGCACTACGGGCCTGTGTGGTGGAAGCAAGATGGAGGAAGCTGGGCTGAGGCACTGAGTATGTACATATATACATGGATCTGCTCCTCCTGCCAGGTGGGGAAGTGGGGCTGGGGAGAATCCAGTGCAAACTTTCCTTCAGGGGAGGGAAGACATGATCAGGATAGACTAGAGTCATCAGAGGGAACAGCTCGTTCTCCTCCAGGCTCCCCACCCTGGGAGTGGGGAGGGCCGAAGAAGGGCCCAGCATAGTGTGCTGGAGAAAGCACTAGGCTAGGAGCCAGGAGTCCTACGGCCTGTCCTGGCTCTGTGACTGAGGTATGGAGACCTTGGCCAAGTTACTTCCTCTTTTGGGCCTCAGTTTCCCCTCCTGTAAGAGGAAGGTACCCATCAAGAGGATTCATTCCTAAGAACCCATCTAGACCTTCACCAAGTCTCTTTGATTCCCATCCAAGTGCCACAGTGTTAACTCTGAAGAATGGGAGGCCTGGACCCAGTCTGGGGCCTTCTCTGCCCAGTCAGGGCAGATTTCTGGGGTCTCTGGGAGCCTTAGGGGCCATTTCTGCTTGCAGGATGGGCCAGTTTCACTCCTTCTTCCCAGAGCCCAGTTTCCTGAGGATCTGCTTCCCCTTAGAGAGGAGACCCCACATCTTCTCACTTGTACCCTGTGGCTCCCCCAGTTCAGTCCTGGATGGGCTGCCAGGGCTGTGGGCACAGGGCCAGCCTGGGGGCACTTGGGACCCTGGTGTTGTGCTGGCCCAGTCCTGGAATAGGAGAGAAAAGGGGCAAGATCAGGGCCTGCCTCGTCCCCTGACTCTCTCACAACCTCATGTGCCTGCAGGCTTCCACCTCCCAAAATCAGGTGGAGAACCAGAGGACCCCTCCCCCACCCTGCCACTGCCCCTACACAGAGCACAGACAGGTGAAATGGTGGGATGAGCCCAGGGAGCATTGCGCTGGGAGCCAACCAGATGCGGTCTCAGTTCTGCTTTCTGTTCACTTGTGACCCCGGGCAAGCCCCCTCCCTTCTCTGGGACTCACTACAGGGCACTGGCTGACAGTGCACAGGAGTTCTCCAAACGTGACCCTGGAGATGGATGCCCCCAACTTCCTACATGTTCTCCCCCTCCTAATGAAGGGAGGCAAGGACAAGGACCACTTAGAGGCAGCTGTGTCCCCTCCAGGGGAGGCAATTCCAACAGCACCTCACAGGTGGCGCCAAAAAGCAGCCCTGCCCAGCCCTAGGGCCTTTAGGGAATGGAGCCAGTGCCCATTCCACTGGGAGGGAGATGGAGACAATGTCCCTCCCTGAATGGCCCCTAAGAGGACAGCAGGGAGCCTGGGCCAGGAGAGGACTCACAGTCGGCCACATCTGTATCCCTCAACCCCACCACAAGCTCCGCAGATAACCCCATCCACCCTTCTCCTCCCTCAGCGTCTCCTCCTCCAGAGCTCAATCTTCTCCCAGCTCCATCTGCAGCCTTCAGCTGCTTTCAGCCTCAGGCCCTCCCAGACAGTGCCTGTTGGTGGCCTGAGGGCTGGCAGTTGGCAAACAGGGGAGGCACCAGGAAGCCTCCCCCCACCAACATTCCCATGTGACCTCCTGTGCCTGGAAGAGCCCTGTCAGGCCCCGGCCAGCCTTCATGGCCTCCCTCCTCCCCTCAAACTCTTGCTTGCGGCCCAGAGAATGGCACCCTCCCAACCAGAGCCAGCCGTGGGGCCCAGATCAGAGGTAGGGAAATGCGTGCATAGCCTGGGTCCTACCTACCCCAAGGCCCTGGGTGATGTAGCAAGGCTTGCCCACAAAGAGGTCTGTGCATCTACTGTCAACCAACCAGGGCTTCGGGGTCAGGCTGGGAAGCCCCCAGATCCTTCCTACTCCCTCCCAGGGGTCATTCCCTAGCATCCCCAGGAGGGAAGGGTTGTCACGGAAGCAAAAGGAGGGGCTTTCTAAGCCCCAGAGAAGAATGGTTTGGGGTTATCTATGGGTTCCAATTATTCAAGCTCTCCCTTCTATCCCCCAAAGCAGAGAAAATTGAGAGTTGGAAGTAAAATCAAACGTCTGATCACCCTACAAGGTCACGATGCAGAAGACAAGAGTGGGGAAATTATCATTATTACTGGTGACATTACAGAGTCATCTTTCTATCACCAATAATAATCACAGTATTAGAATACCATAGTCATATAATACGACAATACTGCTGATGATGTATGTCATGTAATATTCTATAAGCTGCATGTGTTCCAGAATATAAGGAGTCAGCTAATATGGACATCACATACTAGGATGACATGTATTTCCACGACAGCTGGTACTGCCCAGGGTAAAGGCAAGGCAAGGGGAGCAGAAAGAGGGATGGAGAATGATCCTATACCCAAATCTGGCTCCAGGCAAGACCCCCCTCCCACATTCCCTGGGAGAAAACAGAGCAGCCAGTTCAGCTCAGGTATCTGAGCCAGAGGAGCACTGTGATTATGGTGAAGGAGGGGTGGGAGGTTGCAAGGAATGTAGGGGGGCCAGCCCCTCCACTTACATGTTGCTCTCTCTACATTTATCTATGTCCATCTAGCACTGGACTCTTCTGCTCCTCGTTCTCTGAGAACAGGGAACAAAGAGAGGAGATGGGTTACCGACAGACCCGCCGCTCTCCACCCAGCCTCCCAGGTCACAGGGGCTTGTCCTCTTTGCAGAGCTCTTGTATTTGGAACTAGTGCAGATGGAAGCCGAGGGTTTTCTGGTTTGGGCCTGGCCCCCTTACCGTCTACCAGCCCTCTGAGGCTGGAGGCTTAATTTTACCCCACCCACTCTAAGAAGAGGCAAGCTCTAAGAATGAGAACCCAGGAATTCAGGCCTTGCTGGGCAACTGGCTTTAAAAGTCTGAGGCCACAGAGAGGAGAGGCACCTGGGAGACACAGATGCAGCAAGGAGGGAGGGCCTGAAACAGGCACTATGACTGGCTAGATGTGTGGGGGGCCGAGAAGATCCTTTCCCACAGGGTGTCCCCCTAGTCCCCTGCACTGCATTGGCCCAGGGTATGGAGAGTGGGGTTGATGGCCTGGAGATCAGTGTCACAGGCTTCACCCCTCTGCAGAGAGGGGCACGTATACCCCAACTCCCAGCTACTGGGAGGGAGCTGCCCCTACTGGTGACCCACTGGCCATAACTCAGCAGCTTCTCCCTCGGGGCAACGTTCGCCTGTATTACCGCCCTAGCTGCCCCCTCCCACGACACTGTCACCATCCACCACCACCCCAGCAGGGTAGAGACCACACTGTTGAGTGGCGAGCCCAGCTCCTCACTGACCTGACTCTCGGCCGGGGTTGTCCCAGGCTCCCTGCCCAGGCTACCCGCCTCAGGCCCAGGACCCTCCAGGAAGTTGGATGGAACAAGACCCCTTTGTCCATTCAGTTCCCCCTGGGGAGGAAATGCTGGTGAGACTAAAGCCAGGGAAGAGGCTGTACAATCTCTCCTCCTGAGCACCCCCAGCCCCTGAAGCCCCTGAGGGAACATCACTGCCAGGGGAAGCAACCTCATTTACTGCACCAGGCTTTTGTCAGGAACCCCTGCCCACCCCCATCTTCCCCAGAGCCCTGTGTGAAGGGGCTGGTGAGGTGGGGTGCAGTGTACCCCCCATGTTCTCACATAGTAGAAACCATCATCGTCCATGCCCCCAAATACGGTAATGACATCCCCTGCTTGGAAGGGCAGCTCTGCCTGTGGAGAGACCAAGGGCAGGTGTCAGACCCTAGGAGGCCCAGCATCCCCTTCTTGTAGGTTCTGTCTGAGGAGCCACACCTCCACATCCATGTTGGGGGAGTTCTCCCGGGGGTTGTAGTCAAATGCCGCCACCATGAGACGAGCAGCTTTCAGGCCAGCAGAGGAGACTGGCTTGGGGGGGCCTGTGGGGGAAGGGAGAGAAGCCTCAGTATTCTCTCTACACTCCACCCCACCCATCCTGTCCTCTGCACTGGAGGCCTGCTGACCCCCATTCATCAGCCCCCACTAGCTGTAACTCCTGGAGAGAGGCCAGAGGGGCTGCCCATCCCACCTCTTTGCCCAATCTCCTCTGCCCCGGGATGGCTCCTCACCTGTACGGGGCTGGGCAGGGCCTTCCAACTCAGCTGTGGAAAGCGTGTGCTGTAAGCCCTGCCCCCCACTTCCCACCACACCCCAAGCTGGGGTGGTACGGGGCAGGCAGGGTGCTCGCCCTCCCACAAAGGATATGGGGGAGAGGACACTCAGGGAGCACATAAGCCCAGTTTGGTGGTAAACTGAGGCCCAAAGAGGATAAGAACATGCTCAGGTTGCACAGAATTCGCAGCCCAGGGCTCTTGGGAGCAGAGGTCCGGCCACCCACCCCCGATCCCGACCAAACTAAAGCCCCCCACTGGGTGGGGGAAAGTGGGTGAAGGTCTGCCCTGATTCCCTTTACCTGCCCCAAACACCACATGCATCCCCCTAGAGAGCCAAGCAGTACCACCCTCACCCCCACCCAGCACACGTGCTCACAGGCACCAAGGGGGAGAGGAGTCTCACCTACCTTTCTTGGAGCGGCGGGGCTTGGGGGGAGGCCCAGCTGTGCGGGCTGTGGAGTACACAAAGGGACTGTTGCCTGACCCAGGAAGTCAAGCAGGTGCCAGAGAGAAGCCGAGGCAGGGGAGGTGGGGGGTCAGGACAGTGACTCTGGGAGTCTCCTCAGGGCTGAGTCAGGTGTTCGAAGGGCACTCATGCCCCATCTCCAGCACAAAGCCCCCTCCTAACCTCCAGGACCCAAAATACTTGGGGAGCATCAGAGTGTTCTGAACACGCCCATCTCTCCGAAACAACTCCCAAGCCATCTGGCGAGCCCACGGCAAGGCTGCACTTGCCTTAGTCTCTACAAGGCCCTGGAGGCTCTGCTGGGCCCTGGATAAATGAGGCACCTTCGCCACTCCACACGTACAAAGCCCTCAGCATGGGGTTGGGTTGGAACAGGGTGGTTGGAGGTGAGTGAGGGACAGCAGCAGGTCATACCTGAGCTCTCAACAAGGACATCTGGGGACAAGTAACCCCACTCAAGCAGCTGCTGCCTCCCGGCAGGGCTGTCCACAGCCACCTCTGCCACCATGTTGCAGGGGATGTAGCCCATCCGGCCCCCACCTTCACCCCGGTAGAAGCCATCAGCGTCCTTGTCCCCAAACACCTGGAGACAAAGACCAGTTTTCTCAGGAGACCATTCCAGCTTCCTCCCTGTGTACCCAGGCCCTGAACACCAGCAGCACCACACTTGGGCCTGCAGAAGAACGGTCACTCTTCGGTGGGCCGCAGAACAGAAAACGGGAGAACAGCAAAGAACGAGGATTGAAGGGGTAAAAGGGAAAGAACCTTTCTATATTATCATCATCCGCTGTCTATATGTCCACTCCCACAGCTCACCCTAGACAGGATCTCTAACCTTGGAGCACTAGCAAAAAGCCTGCAATAAATACTTGAAGGAAGAGTAAAAAATAATGCTAACCGCAGCAAACAGTTCTGTTGTGCTATGTGCCGGAAATTCAAAGGCTTTATGTATGTGGAATCATTTAATCCTCAAACCACCCTGTGAGGTAGGCACTTATACTGGCCCCATTTTACCAATGAGGAAACTGAGGCATAGAGGGGTAGGTAATCTAGCCAAGAGTTCCTAGCTAGAAGTGGCAGAGCCAGGATCCCAAATCCACGTCATCTGGCTCAAGAAGCAGTGCCCTCATCGGTGACACTCCGATACCTCCAGGAGGAAAGGGGGGAGGAGGGAAGGCAGCTGGCTGGATTGGGGAGCTGAGCCCAGGTCGTAAGTCAGTCACCTTCAAGATCTGCCCCTCCCAGAAGGGGAGCTCCTCTTCCCCAGCATCAGGGTTGGGTGACATTGACAAGGGGTCGTAGTCAAAGAGAGCCACAAAGACCCTGACAGGTAGGTCCTGGTAGGCCAGCACCTCTTCTGGGGGGCTCCTCGGAGGGCCTGGGGAAAGAGGGCAGCATCTCAATGAGCTCTGACCCAGGGGTCATGAAAGGCCCCTCACGCCTAGCCCAACCCCCATTAGGTGCTCACCCGGCTCGCTGGAGCCTGGCCTGCGGTCCCGGGCCCCTGCTGGCGGGGGACCCCTCCGCCCAGAGCTGTCCTGCCCTCTGGGCTCCTCCATCCCTGTTGCCTGAAAAGAGAGGGCAACAGACAGCAGAAGTGACACACGGTCCCTCTGGTGGGCACGTCGCAGGGGCAGGACCTGCACCCGCTCCCCAGCTCTGCCCCTCCAGCATAAGCAGTACAGCAGACCAGGGACACAACATTCTTCTCTGGAGCCTTGGCCCCGCCTCGTTGGAGGAGTCAGACACCCCATGGGGGGTGGGGGGCAGGCAGGAGGAGAGGCCCCAGCCCCAGCCACCAAGTAGATGAGTGCAGGAGAGGGGACTAAGCTTAGGTATCAGTTTTCTGAGAAGCATTTGGAAGGGGTGCCTCGTGTCAAGGTCAGGGTCAGTGACGTTGGACATGGTATCACAGTGTCCTGAAGATATAACTAGCTGAGGACAGCGCCGCCTTGCCCGAGGGCAGGGGGCCGGCTGGCAGCAATTGGCAACTAGTGGCAACAGAATAATGTGCATCCCAGTTCTGTTCCGCAGAAGCAGCAAAGCGGTGGAATGTGGGTGGGAGGAGGCAGGTGAGGGAGCTGGAGGCCCTGCCCCACCTCTGCTGATGGAGGTGGCAGCATGAAATGGGAGTGGCTGGTGGGCAGCAAGCGGGGCCACCTGGTAGCAGCAGGCAGGGGGCTGCCCAGGGTGGTAGTGGGCACGGACCCGGGGGGGTTGCTCCTTGGTTCTGCCTGTCACACTGCGGCCTCTGCGCTCTGGCTCCGCTTTCTCCCAGGCTGGGAGGCGCGGGTAGGGGGTGGGGGCTGAATTGGCCTTCAGAGGCCCTCTGGGCCGTCCTATGGGCGCTGCGCCCCAGGACTCCCCCTCTCCAGGGTAGCAAGAGCTGGTGATGCTGATGCCCCCGCTGCCTGCCTCCTGCTCATCCTCAGAATCATACTCGATGCTGATTTCCAAGCACTTGGGGGACAAGCAACTGGCCAGGCCAGATTCTGGGGCCCGGCCACGGAAGCATCTCCGGGAAGGGGCCGGCCGCCCTCTCCCACCAGCCTCTGGTCCGGCCCTGGTCCCCTCGCCCACAGGGGGGCCACCCATCTCCCGTGTGGGGCCTGGTCGTCCAGAGAGCTGGGGCCCGCCACTGCCAAGAAGTCGGCTGCAGTGTTCACGGGAGTCTGGGGGCCGCCTGCGATTTGGGGGTTTCTCCAGGGCACCACCTCCTCTCCTCCGGCTGCTTCCACCAACTAGTCCAGGCACATCCTCCAGGCGGTCCCCGGCCCTGGAGAGCTCGGGAGACAAGAGGCACGGGCCACCTCCTCGGGGCCAAGAGCTGTCACAGCCTGGCCCCAGCAATGCAGGCTCAGGCAGGCTAGAGTCTTGGGAGAAACGGCCTGCCCCGGGCTTCTCCTCCTGTTGGTCCTCGTCCTCTTCCTCCTCCTCAGGGATGCTAAAGAGCTTCTTGCTGCAGAACTGCTGGAGGGGCAGCTCCAGGATCTGCTCCAGGATCTCCTCGTCGCTGTCGGTCTCACAGGAAGAGTCAGGCTGGGGCTGGGGCTGGGGCAGGGGTGGGAGCGGCAGGAAGAGGGGTCCGTAGGGAGGAGGAGAGAGGTGTGACCTTTGCCCTCAAATGACGGCAGAGGTTGGGGGCAACCCCACAGCCCACCCTCAGCTTCCTCCAGGACTATCTCCTGTTCCTCCACAGTCCTTCCCCATTGCAGGGAAAGACCCAGAGGGGGAAGGGCATGCCCAAAGTTGCCAAGGCAGAGCCAGAGGAAGAATTAGGGGACACACCCCAGGATCAGGCCCTGAGAGAGGACACACAGGGAGAAGCGTGTGCCTGTAAGAGCAGTGAGCCCCCCCAAACTCAGATCAAACACAAGGCTCCCTCTAGCCTGTGCACTGCATCTGTTAGGGGAGGGGGATGCAGAAAAGGGCCCCCCTGTCCCCTTTCTTCCCAGGAAGCCAGAGGCTGGTCCTGGGCCACTTTATACCTGCTGCTTAGGACAAGGCCCAGGCCACACACCTAGAATGTTGCTGGCGCTCAGTGGTGGCTGGAGCAGCTGCTGACACATAGGGCAGAGGGTCCCTGGACACTGAGGTCTAGGGCCTACCAGTCCCTCCCCACCCTGTTACCTTGGCCCCATTCTCCGTGATGCTGTTGCCAGCAACCTGCTTCTGGAAAGAGCAAGGCCTAGAACTCAGTGCCTCCTGGTCCTCGTCCTCATCCTCCTCCTCCTCCTGGATGTCTGACAGGTCTGAGCTGCGACCGTGGTCCACAAGGGAGTTCACTGGACGAACCCCGAGCTCTGCTGGGTCCTCTCTCTGTAAGAGGCGGACAAGAGAGGCACAATGGGAGGGCCAGTGAGGGGCGCCAGGGGTCTAGGCAGGGTCAACCCCAGCCAGGAAGGAAGAGGAAAAGAGGGCCATGCCCACATGGGGGTGTGCAGATGGCAGGGGAGCCTTCCTGGATCTCGAGGCAGGAAAAAGAGCCCAAGAGTAGGGTGGAAGCAAAAATGGGGAGAGATCTGGGAAGAAAAATGTGACAAAGAAACGGACACACAGCACAGAGCAGAGTGGAGAACAAGGGGAAGGGCAACCAGATTTGGGCAGCAGGAGGCAAGGAGGTGGCCCAGTTCTTGGAGGTGGCACTGTGTCTCCCCAGCCCCGTACCTCGGCCCTGGCCCGAAGCCCCGACCCTGTGTCTCTGTGGCTGGCCTCGGTACACGGTGTCCACTGGGCCAGGACTCCCTGGGTGGAGCAGGACAGCTGGCAGGCCTCTCCTGTGCTCCGCTCAGCCTCTTCCTGAGCCAGTTTGGGAGCCGCAGGGCCAAGGCCTCTCTCGCCCACAGTTGGCTCGCTGACCCTCCTCTCCTCCAAGGCACCCAGCACTGCTACCCCAGCCTCTTCCTGGAATGGCAGGCACTGAGGAGGGGTCCCAGGCCCTTCTCCCAGCCCCCACCGACACTTTCTGCCCCCCAGCCCAGGGTACCTGGGAGCAAGAGGCTGGAGGTTCCTCTTGGGATCCTCTTGATGCCTCACTGGGAGGGCTTGCTGGAGGGGCTCCTGGGGGCTCTCGAGTTCCATGGGGGACAGGGCGCCGGAGGGGAGAGCTGGGGTCTCCAGGTCCTGGGGAGGCTGGAGCAAAGGGTGGTCTGGCCTCCGGGCCTGGTCTAGGTGACGGGCAGGAGACCCTGGCTGGCAGGCAGGCCAGAGCCAGGGCTGGAGCAATGGGAGCCGGGATGGAGTCAGCTGACTCGCCATGGGGTGACATGGTGCGCACGGCCACCTCCCGGCATACCCGCAGCAGCTGCAGCTGAGACAACTCCACCAGCACGCTGCCTGCCGTGGGCGAGGCCACCTCCATGATCTGCAATGAGGAGGAAAAGGATGGGAAAGGGGGGCTGAGACAGCCAAGTGTGCAGACACAAGAATAACAGGGTGGCTACCATTATGCCATTACACCATTATGCTAAGCCCTTTGCATGCCTTGTCTCATCTCACTCTCCTGACCATGAGTGGTGGGGTGGTTTTCGAATCCCAGTCATCTGATGCCAAAGCCCGTGCTCTTAGCCAATCTGCTACATAGTGTCCAAACACCAGGGCTGGGCACCTCTGTGCCAGGCCATAGAGACTAGGCAAGGAGGCAGCCACATCCTGCTCCCAGGGTACAGGTAGGGTGCAGCAGCTGGGCCATACCTTCTGCCCATCCACATAGATGGCATAGCCTGTGACCCGGACACCGTTGGAGGAGCCTGCAACATCAATGGTGACTGGGAGCCAGCTGATGATCAAGATTCCAGGGGAGGGCCCCGGCTCAATCTGCACATCCAGGGGAGCATCAGGTGGGCCTGGGGGAGAAGGGGTACAGGGCCCAGTAAAGCAGGAGACCACCCGCCAGTGATACCAGCGCAATTTGCCATTTCCCTGAAAATGCAAAGAACAAGTCTCCCCTTCCACCATCGCCGAGCCCTCTGGTGGTACAGACAGTGCGCCGCCCCCGCCTCCACCCCGCACCAGCGCTGGCCACATCCCTCAGTGCTCTGGCCTGCACACCTGCTGGTAGAGTGGTGAACTGCAGGGTGGCAGCCCTCTGCTCCGTCCTCTCCCAGCCTGGCTCCCAGGACCCTCGGGGTGGGAGCTGAGCCTCTACTCGGGCCTGGTAGGGTGTGCCGGGCCGCAGGTTGCAGAATGTGGCCCAGTAGGTGCTGGGGCAGGCAGGTGGGCACTCTTCCCCATTGAGGTAGATGGCATGGGCCAAGTTGCTATTGCTGGGCACCCAGGTGATCTCAGCAGACGTGGCTGTCAGTCGATGGACCCGAAGCTGGCTAGGCCCCACCCCGGCCTGGGTGCCCACTGCCAGGCAACAGCGCAGGGGGTCGGAGCTGCCCCGGCTAGTGAGGGCCCGGACAGAAACATGGAGGATCTCAGCCTGCAGGTCCAGGTTCTCAAGCACAGCCCTGAGGGGTGCCCCAGGCCCCAGGGTCTGACGCAGCTCGCCATTCACGCAGATATGATAGCCGTGCAGCTCCACTCGCTCAGGGGGCGGCTCCCAGGCCAGCACCATGCTGTGGGCCAGCTGCTTGAGGACCTCCAAGCGGCGAGGGTAAGGCATAGCCAGGGGCTCGCCAAGGCCATCGGGCAGGGGGCTCAGGCTGAGCTCGTCGCCTGCATCCTCCTCCTCCAGTCGGGGCTGGCTATGCCCCCCGCTGCTCTGGCCCCCACTGCTGCTGCCACCCCCACCTCCACTCAGGAAGCTGAGTTCAGGGCCAGAGCTGTGTGACAAATCGGCCAGCTCTGGAGGGAGGGAGGTCAGGAGGTCGTCATCAGACACACGCTCTACAAAATTGGAGGGGACCAGGCCCCTTCGGCCATCCATGAGCTCCCCTGGCAGAGGGAGGGGAGGGGAGAACAAGGAGGGGGAGACAGAGGAGGTAGAGAAAAATCCATCCATTAAATTCATTTAAGCAATCGTCAGTGGATGATTTCCATCATTTGATTCAAATCAACATTCATCTGTCAGTGCTTTTAAAGGACAAGAGCAGTCAAAATCTGGATTAGGGAGTGATTGTTACTTCTCGTGGGTGTGATACTAAGGTATGATAATGGTACTGTGGCTATAAAAGACCAAAAACAAACAAACCAGTTGCCATGGAGTCAATTCCAACTCATGGCAATCTCATATGTTATAGAGTAGAACTGCTGCATAGGGTTTTCAAGGCTGTGACTTTTCAGAAGCAGGCTGCCAGGCCTTTCTTCTGAGGTGCCTCTGGGTGAGTCCAAACTGCCAACCTTTGCGTTAGCAGTCAAGTGCTTAACTGCTTCTGCCACCCAAGGACTGCCCAAAAGTGCCTCTTAAATTCTAATGTGCGTATGAATCAGCTGGAGATTTGTTAAAATGCACACTCTAATTCAGTAGGTCTGGTGGGGTTAGGAGCCCTGGTGGCGTAGTAGTAAGTGTTTGGCTGCTAACCAAGAGGTAGGCAGTTCAAATCCACCAGCTGCCTCTTGAAAACCCTATGGGGCAGTTCTACTGTGTCCTATAAAGTCACTATGAGTCAGAATCGACTCAATGGCAACGGGTTTTTCGGCCGGGTGGGGTTAAGAGTCTGGGTTTCTAACAAGCTCCCGGGTGAGAATGATGCCACAAGGATGGAGGAGACGCAAGGATGCAGGAGAATGTCCATGTTCTAAGGAGATGCAGGGTAAAGCCTTTCTAGGTAAAACGTCAAGATGTCTGCAACTTGCTTTCAAATCTTTTTTTTTTAAAACCGACATATGGATAAAGCAAGTATGGCGAAATGGTAACAATTGTTGAGTCTAGGTTATGGGTATATAGGTGTTTATTGGACTATTTAACTTTTCTGTACATTTTGAAAACTTTCATATTAAACATTTGGGAAAAAGTGAGCAGGTCAAGATGAGAAGCCAGATTCTACTGATTGTGAGGCTCCCATGGTGGGGTTTTACAGATCTGGTGGGGTGTGGGGGGGGAGGTGGAGGGGTGCCCTTCAGCTTCCTTTGTGGAAAACAAACATTTACAAGGGAAAGGGGAGCAATGACCTTGTCAGGGTGAGGGAAGGCATCTTCAGAGATGAAAGACATGAGTGCCAGAGAGGAGTCACTTGTGGGTTCTAGAGGGGATTAAGACCCACAGCAGGCCTCTGTGCTAGGAGCGTGACCTGGCAGGCAACCCACGCTGCAACCAATGGTAAGCATTGTTACCTGGCATCAGTTCCTCTGAAGAATTGACAATAGAGTATTTTAAGACATTTGTTTTAGTTATTTGTTTGAGGGATGTCAAGGAAGAAGGAAGCTGGCACACAGCAAGTCATGTCACAGCCAATTTGCGGGGAGGAAAAAAAATCCCACGGAACAGCCAAGACAGGAAGCATGGCAGGACTTAGGGCCGAAAAGTGAGTCGAGGCAGGTCTTAGCTGTAGGAGTGTCTGGGAGTTTCCCCGACAGTAACTGAGTGTTTTCTTTCCCCTCTCACTCTGCTTATGCCAGGAGAAGAAAAAAGTAAGGAATCTAGAAGAACAAAAAATAGGCACTCTCAACAAATTAGGTAATATAAACACTGTAGCGGGTTGAATGGTAGCCCCTAAGAGATATGTCCACATCCTAATCCCTGGAACCCAGGAATGTGACCTTATTTGAGAAAAGGGCCTTTGTAGATGTCATTAGGTAAAAGATCTCAAAGTGAGATCATCTTGGATTATCTGGGTGGACCCTCAATCCAATGACAAGCATCTCTCTAAGAGACACACAGAGGAGAGACACCAAGAGAAGCGCAGGAGGCAGTGCCACCACAGAGGCAGAGATTGGAGTGATGCGGCCACAAGCCAAGGAACACCTGGAACGCCTAGACGCTGGAAGAGACAAGGAATGGACTCTCCCCTAGAGCCTTTGGAGGGAGCATAGCCCTGCTGACACCTTGATTTTGCACTTGTGGACTCCAGAACTGTGACAGAATACATTTCTGTTGTTTTAAACCTCTAGGTTTGTGGCGATTTGTTACAGCAACTCTGAGTCATGTGAGATTAAGCATCAAAGAGTATGAGATTAAAGGTGGGCGCCTTGACACTAAGCTGATCTATAGCCCTGCACAGCTGAAGCTGGAGCCTGGCCAGTCCAGGTGGGATCAGACAGAGATGAAGCAGTCACTTAGCTAAATGTTGATGAGGACTATGGCAAACAACACTCAATTGTCTACGTTCCTCTAAATCTATCCCGGATTGTATAGCTCAAATTCTAGTAAATTGTGGTTAGTTAATATTTATGCTTTTGTTGCCTCCCTTCCAAAAAAACTGGTTTTCTTCTGTTTTTCATAAAAATAGCATACTTTACCTGGGAGTTATATAATCTGGCCCTCTGTAGTCCACCCCTATGGGAGTTTAGCTGTTTAAGCCACACAGCCAGAGTGGGTACCATCATCCCAGGCAGCCATGCAAAGAACAGGCACAGGCCCAGGAAACAGTAGCTGAACAGGTTCTGAAGGCCTGACCTTACAAACCCAAAGCTTTCGGTGTTACAGACTCAGACCTAAGGACTTTCCTAAATCCCACACACAGGTATACACAGGTATACCCTGTCATCATTACCCCCATACAGCCCTCCCCCTGCCCCTGTCCACGCCTCATCCCAATCTCCACACAGTGCCACCCTCCCATCTGCTGAACAATGGAGCCTGGTGTGTGCCCAGGCCAGGTCCACCCTGGGAGAGTCTTCCACAGCCACTTCTTCTGCACGCCCTGCCCTGTTGCCCAGTTTCTGTAATGGGGCATTGCCTGATGAACCCTCTGGCTCCCAGCTGGAACTAGAGAACTGCCCTGAAGCTCAGCCCCTGCCTGGGCCCTGACAACTGCTAACCACTTGCAAACACCCTTTCCTGGGGTCTGGGCACTGATTCCTCCTCTCCACGCCTGACTGGATCCCGGCATCAAATCTATGCTCCATGCTGACTTCGTGTGTCACTAAACACCGTCATGCCCTGCCTGCAAGCACAAACATGAGTTTAGCCCAAATTCCCTGTGACACTCCGTCATCATCTGAACTGTGAGTATGCCCTGTTCTGCCCTGTTTGGGGCCAGACCCACAGACAGCCTAGTTGCCTCCTTCCCCAGGCCCCTTTCTTTCCCTTTCCCTACTGGCTGCTGAGGACTCTGAATGCCTTCTAGCTGATTCTAAAAAATTATGGTGGGCTAAGCATGCTGGGGAGAGCGTATGGACAGTTGGAGGTCTTTGGGAACACAGGCTAAAAGGCGGGGGAATGGACAGAATGACTCCACTACCTTCCTACCTTCAAAAAAGCCATCCTCGTCCATGTTGCCATAGATGTAGATGTACTCCCCCGCAGTCAGTGGAAGCTCTGCCTCCGGATTCTCGTTGGGGCCCTCAAAGGGGTTGTAGCTATTGGGGGAGGCGAGAGAAGTAGGATGACAGTGACTACATCCCACCTCATTGTCCTGTCTTCTCTCGCCCACTCCACCAGGCCTTCATGGACATGTGGTTGGCCATCTTTAGCAAAGCTGAGCATTGACTGTGCCACCTTGGCCCAACTAGGTTAAGAGGACATGTCTAACTGGGATCCCTACAGGCACCCCACCATCTCTATCACATGGTCCCCTCCCCCCATATACCCCAAGTGCTGGGGGTGGGTAAGGGTGAGGGGCCTACCTGTAGCGTGCTAGGAAGACCTGGATCCTGGCTCCTCCCCGGGTGCCCTCTGGTGCTGCTGGGAGCAGGGAGACACTGTCTGCCTCCAGCTCCTCCACCTCACTGGCTGTGTCCACCTGGGGGCAAACAGAAAGGGCTGGTCCTTTCCAGGGCCAAGGGCCAAAGGCAAAGCAGGTTGCCAGGCTGAGCCAGAGGAGGAGCCATCACCTGGGAGAAGGGAAAGTGAGCACATGCTGGTCTTTGTAGCAAGGAACATGGGATGTTTCCTAAATCAGTACCTGAGCCAGCAGGGCCGGGCAGAGCCCAGCTTCATGCCCTAGGAAGGGAGAGTGGGGTAACCTGGAACCCTCCCAGAGCCCTGGCCCCTACTGCCCCAAGCCAGCTGAGAGAGGGCTAGGCCATGGCTGGGAGGGGGAGTGGGTATCCAGTGGCAGTGTGGCCCCTCAAGGTGAGATGCACTAAAGCAGCCCGACGGTAAAGAGCTGGAGGAGACCGGGCAGAGGGGGCTGGAGAAGTCCCTGCCTTTTGCCCTGTGACAATGCTTCTATGGTTCAGCCCTGGAAGTCAGAACTTCCTATCCACTTGTCTGGCCCATGCCTGGGGGAACCCCCCTGCTTCTCTGCCCTGGTTCAGATTTCTGGGGCCAACCTGAGGAACGATCTTTTCTTCTCTGCCAAAGCCTGAGCCAAGGGGACTGAGGAGTAGACAGAGACAGCCCTCCATGACAGCAGCCAGATCCAGCATCACCATTCTATCACACAAGGGGGCAGCAGAGGCCCAGCGCTGCGTTCTACCAACTTCGGCAGGTAGGATAGCAGGGCTGCTCCTGACCTGCCCCCTCCACTCTGGGGTTTGGGAGGTAGACAGAGGGACAAGGTGATCAGAAGAGCTGGGAGTGATGCTCTAGAACTTGTAATAATAGCTGTCACGTGGTAAGTATCTACTGTGTGTCCCGTACTATCTGAGCCACTTCCTTGTATTTTCTCGTGTTATCCTCACAACTTTACAAGGCAGGTTTTATTATCTCCAATATTCAGATAAGGAAACTGAAACCCAGAAAGGATCAGGGACTTGCCTAAGACAAAGCTGGGATGTGAACCCTCAAACCTGTGCTCTTTCTCACAACCACCTGTTTCTGCTACAGACGCTCTTATGAACAGTCTCATTATGGATCCTGGCACCAAAGTGTCTCCCTCCACCCAACCCAGGACTCTAGGGCCTCCCTGGGCCCCAGAGGGGTAGGGCCACGTGGCCCCAAGGTGGGGCTTGCAAGCGGGCCCTGGAGAGCAGGGATGGGACACACAAGGAGGCATTTACAGTCTTTCTCTGCCCAGGTCTCTCTCCACTTTCCAAACCAGGATCGAACTCCTGGGGACCCCAGAAGATGTCAAGGCAGACCTCCCCTCTCCCCTTCCTCCTTTCCCAAAGCAGGGCCAGAACCCCAGGTTTCCACCCTCCCCAGCACTGACCTCGGGTGTAGGGCAGGACTTGGTGCTGTTGTGGATGGTCTCAGAGCGAGAGGAGTCGGAGAGAGACTCTGCCCTCTTAGCCGTCCTTCGAGGGGCCCCGGCAAGGGTGGCAGAGGCAGGTTCAGAAGACTTTGGGGTACAGCGCCCTGGAGAGCCCGGTGGGAGGTCAAGGTCTAAAGAGAAGATGGCACGTGGGCTGGGGGTCTGTGGCCTGAGGAGGGACCAGGGAGATAGGGTGGAGCTACTTGGATATGAGGGTCAAGCCCTCCATAGCCAGGTTTCCTCGCAAGAAGGGAAATATTTGGGGGGGGGGCTTGTAAGTGTCAGGTACATGTGATTTGCATACATGATTTCACATGATCCTCACAGCAGCCTGGTGAGGTGCATTTAACCATTCCTGTCTTAGAGTTTAGGAAACTGTGGGCCATTGACTGTAAAGTCAGTGGAGCTGGGACCACCAGATCCAACTGACTCCCAAGCCCATCTTGCCTGCTGCTGACTCCTAGTGCCCACCTCCCAGCTATGATCATACAGGTCCTACTGGAAGGAGAGGAGCAGTGGCCTGACATGCCTGGGCCCAGACTCAGGGACAGTCACCCCATTGGGCTCTATTTTTCCCCATCAGAGCCTGGTTCTAGTCAGGCATGCCTCTAACTTGCTGTGTGACTTTGGCTGAGTTGCTAGTCTTCTCTGACCCTGAATCCCTGCTCTGTATAATGGGTGCCTACCTTTCCAAAAGCCCTAGGGCTGGAAATTCCAGGCCAGTGCCACTGGGATCCACCTTACCTTTGGAGCTGGAACCCCGGCAGGGTTGGGGGGTGGAACAGCAACAAGGGGGTGGTAGGCGGTCCCCAGGGGCACTGCAGCCCAGGGCAGAAGTGAGCAGATCCAAGGGGCCAGGGTGCAGGCGGAAGGCCTGGAGCTCCTGTGCCAAGAGGCTGAAGCGCTCAGTTTGGCTGCGGCACTGCTCCTCAAGCTCTCGAACCCGGGCCTGGGCCAAGATCCACCGTGAGCCCAGAGCCAGCAAAAATGCCCAGTCCCAGCCCGTGACATCTCCACACAGCCCTACACAGGCTTCAGATCACAGGCACCTAACCCCCAGACCTGGGGCCCAACCCTTGACCTGGCTGCCCCTCGACCCTTAATAGTGTCTGAGCAGAGTGTGAAGTCCTGAGGCTGTGAGACATCTTCATTCCCAACCCTCCTCCAGAGCCAAGGTCTGCCTCACACTCTGTGCCCTCAGCCCCAGGCAGGCTGTGCTTCTTCTGGCTGCTTTCTAGGCCAAAAGAGATCGCTCCCACCCCCATCACCACCACCAGTATCACCTCGGGAGTTTCTCAGCCCCGTTGCTTGTCACCCTCCCGCAGTCAGTGACCCAAATCTCTGCCCTCAGAGAGGTGGAGTAAGAGATTCCACAGGCGATATAGGGACATCTTTGTGACAGGAACAGGCCAATTCTCAAGAATTTTTCTCAGGTATCAGGAGAGCCCCAACCCTAGCCAGTATCAGGAGAATCATGAGTCAGATTGGTGGTGAACTTCCTCATGGTCTGAATGGATCGGTTTTGGAGGAGGGAAGACCCCGTGTCTGCCAGGCACAGTAGCAGGTCTGGAACAAGGGGATGGCCCACATGTCCTGTACGGACCCAGGCCATCTAAGGTTTTGCAGATCTGCCACCCTCCTCTGTTGGACATGACAGTTGGGACTGCTTGGGCCCTAACGGAGGAGATGAAGCTCAGCCAGCCTGGAGAGGTATGGAGGAGGGGATACCCAGGGAGGTTGGAGGGCAGAGGGACAAGGAGGTTGTACCTGCATGGAATCCAAGGTAGACTGTGGCAGGAAAGCAAAGCACAGAGGAGAGGTGAGAAACCCTAGTAGGTAGGTCATTAACCCAGGGAGGGAAAAGAAGAGAGTGGGGCCTAAGTGGACCACATCCCCATCCAGTAGGCTCCCTGGACTAGCTGAGAAGTTCCTAAATGGAAGAATATTTTAGGTTAAGGGCAGCCTCTTGGGGGTGGCTTGCAATAGGAGACTGCTGCCACCAGGCTCAAGAGCCCCCTGCCCCAGCCATGCTCCAGCCATGCCCCAACCTGAGATAATAGGTCAATGGTGGAGGGGATTCCCCGGGTCCTGGAGGGTTTAAGGGCCTCTCCTGAAATCCCACACCCTCCCTCCCACACACAAACACATAGTCCATTCCAGTTTTATCTGAAGTTCCCTGACTTTCCCCCAAGCAGTGGAGCTGGTGGCCATCTCCAGGGACCCTACCTCCAGCAGCTGCACGGCCCCTTCATGTTCCCTCTTGGCTTCTGCCTGGGCCTATAGGTGGGAGGAGGCAAGATGCTGGAGGGGAAGGATGAGGAATGGGGGTGGGGTAGAGGGAGGTGTAAGGGATGAGGGTAGGAGGAACAAGGGAGAGAGGAAGGAGAGGGAAAAGAGTCAAGGGTAGAGGGAGAAGGGAAGGGGAATTGGGAGCAGGAGAGGCTGAGAGGCTCTCTTCCCTGAACACCCACCCCCAGCCATACCTCAGGCCAGAAGGCAATGGGGTCAAGGAGAGGTGCGGCCTGGTACTGTTTTTCTCTGTCTGGGACAGCCACCCTCCTGGCTTCTCTCCTACCTCTCTGGATGCTCCTTCTCAGCTTCGTGGGCCTGCTTTGCCTCGTCTGCTCCTTGTGAATGTTAGGAGGTCCCAGGGCGTGGTGCTGGGCCCACTTTATGCTCTGTACCCCACCCTCCATCAGGGTGCTTAAGCCCAAAACCTCAGTGAGTCTTCCCTTTCCCTCAGAGAGGGGTGACAGAGCAAATGGGTGACAGAGTAGGGACTCAACTCTAATCCCACGGTGAGTCTTGCCGATTCTATCTCCAAAATATATTTCAAATCCATCTCCTTGTTTCCACCTCCATGGCCTGACCCTAGTCCAGAGTCCCATCGTCTCCCATCTGGATCACTGCAACAATAGCCTCGTAACAGCTGATCGCCCACCTTCATGCCAGCTCCCACATGCATCCTCCACACTGCCCTCAAAGTGATCTTATAAAATTATGAATAGGATCATGTTACTCCCCTTCTGACTGCTCACAGAACAAAATATCCAAATTATTCCCATGGCTTTTAAGCCCAACATGATCCAGCTCTTGCCAATTTCTTCTCTTCTGTCCATCCCTTACTATATTCTAACCTTACTGTTCTCAGACACTCCAAGCTATTTCCTGCCATAGGGCATTTGCACTTCTATCCCCTCTTCCTGGAGTGCTCTTCATCTAGCTCCCATGGCTGGCTCCTTCTTGCCCTGCAGGGATTACCTCCATTGTCACCTCCTCAGAGAGGCCTTCCCTGACCACCTCTCTAAAGTGGTCCCTCACGCCATCTCAGTCACTCTCTGTCATATCACCCTGTTCATCTCCTCCATTGCACTTGTCAGTGTCTGAAATCATCTCATTCCTGGATCCGATTATTTGCGGATTGGTCAGGAACCTCGTCTTTCTTCACCGCTGTCTCCCCAGTGCCTCGCATGGTGCCTGGCACACAACGGGTGCTCAGCAGATGCTTGTTAGATGAGAGGATGACTAACTGGGGTCCAGCAGCCTACCAACCTTCCCTCACTCCTGCTCTCCACCCCCAGGAGGCCCTGTCCCCACCTGCTGCAGCCTCCGGACCTCCTCTTGCTTCTCCTGCAGGCTGAGCCGAGCCTGCTCATGCTCCACCTCCAGCTGCTGCCGCCGCTGGGCCACCTCCCGCATGTGCTGAAACACAAGACCTTGGGTCAAGGCCAGAGCCGCCACTGTGCCATTTCTACAGAAGATCTAAGAGGAGGGGGCCTCAGACACTGTTCCAGATCCCCTCTATGAAACTGAGGCTAGAGAGAGGAAGAGCCTAGACTAAGGTCCCACAACAAGTGGACGGTAGCACCAGACTGAGCCTCAGACCTCATGGGCATATTCTACTGTCCCATTTTCTCTCAGTGTCAGGCACCAATACCCTCTCCCCCACCTACACGGTCCCTTTACCTTCAGCACCTGCTCCAGGCTCTCCAGCTTGCTCTGCAGGCCCTGGCTCTTGCGAAGGGCTGAGTCCCTCTCCTCTGTCACCCCCAGGAGCCGGCCCCTCAGCTCCGCATTCTCCCACTCCACCTGGCGGGGGGGTGTTGGCAGGCATCTGAGTGTGTGAGTTTTGTCCCACCAGCGCCCTCATTAGGGGGAATAGCATCCTTCATATCGTAGCCCAGTTTGGGGGTGAAAGAAGTCTCTTACTGGGGGCTGGGACCCTGGCAGGAGCGCTGGTACCTGCTCCTTCGTGGCTCTCCCACTGAGCCGAGAGTTCTCCTCCACGAGGCGGGCATTCTCATTCCGGGCTTCTCGCAGCTGCAGTTCCTGGGGGGGCAGAGGCACTCTGGGGAGGGGCCACACACCCACACAGAGGACCCTACCCACCAAGGCAAGACCCCTTTCTCCCCCACCTAGAACCTGCATCAGACAGAAAAGGAGAGCCCACAGAGTGAGAAGGAAAGTGCTTTCTTGGGGCAGGAGGGACGAAAGCAGAGCTGAGCGGAAGCCCACCACCTGGCTGGGCTAGGGGAAGGAGGAGCTGGCCCTGGACCCTCAGGAGCTCACCAGCTCCTCACATCGCCTCTGCTTCTTCCTGGCTTCCTGCTCCAGGCTCTGGCATTTCTTCCGCTTCTTGCTGAGCTCTGACTCCTGTACAGGTCATAACCCAGCGGGTCAGCTGGGAGGGTCAATCTGTCCATTGCAGGTCCCCTGCAACCCTTGGCCTGGGCACTTACCAGCTGCTGCACCCTCTGCAGTTTCTCAGGCTGCGCTACGACCACCTGTGGGTTTTCCACATCCTCCTGGGGCGTGGCCTGCAAATGCCCAGGGTTAGGGGGCTGGCACTGAGTACAGAACCCCAGGACAGCCTGCCCCAGCCCAGCCTGTCCCTGGGAGGGTCCCACCCCATCTCCCAGTCAGCAATGAGATCCCTGCCAGGGGATCTGCCAGCCGCCCACCCCCTCCCATCATCTCCAGTTGGTGTGGAAATGCAGAGGCCGGATCCCTGTGTCCCAAGTCATCAGTGCTTTGAGGTCCTGGGACCCACGTGTGTCCTGGGAAGCATGTCCCTTATCCAGGCCAAAGCTTTCCCTTTTTAGCTTGCAGCGGCCAGCCCCACTCTGCACTCAGTAACTGTCCTAGGTGTCCTTCAGTGACTGCCAGAGAATTCAGAGGCTGCCTAGGCCCAGGGGACATGGAGGTGTTCCCAGAGCTGGGGTTCTGAAGCATCCAAATCTAGGCCTGGCCTAGAGCAGCGCACCCCTGGCCAGACCCTCCTCCTGGCTTCTCCCAAGTCCACCCCGTACCACCACGCATTTATCGATGCAAACTTTGAGGAGAGGACAGGTCTTGATGTGGGGGTACGTTTCCCCTTACTGGGCCACGCAGAGGGTCAAAATCGAGCAAGAAGCACCCCCATACTCTGGGGTCTTGGTCGCTATGGGGTCCCGCCTCCCATTCGTCTTCCCAGGAGGGGGCGGACCCAGATACCGCCCAGCAGAGAGAACCGAGAGGAGCCAGACCCCTGAGTTCTGCGGGTCCGCAGGGGGGTCCCGGGCCGTCAGGACAGGAGCTGCCTAAGCCCCAGGCCCAGTGAGGGTCGCCCGTACCTGGAGCCGGGGCGGACAAACCACCGCCCCCGAGGAGGAGCCGGGGCGGGCCTGGCCGACCGGGCGGGTGCTGAAAGGGGCGTCCCCGCGCTACGGCGGCGGCGGCGGGAGGAGGTGGCGCGCGCTGGGCCCGGGGCGGCTGCTAGAGCAACCGAGGATTTGCTGCCGGGCCGTACCACTGGCGGCGCGGCAGGGGCGGCGGGGCGGGCCCGGCGGGACGCAGGCCCGCGGAGGGCGGAACCCGGGATGCCCCAGGCGGGCGCGGCGCAGGTAGGCGCGCGGGGACGGGTGGAGGGGGACCTGCCCCCGGGGTCGGGTGAGCTCCCCCGCCCCTCGGAGTGCGCATCCATCACCAGGTCCTCGGAGCTCTGAACGCGGTGCAAGGGGAGGTTCCAGAGCCACCCCCGCTTCTGGTCTACACACACCCATACACCTGCCCAGGCGCCTGCGCTCACCTCTCCCGGGGCCCCGGGTGCGGGCGCCCCTACTGGGGCCCGGACAGCGAGGCCCGAGGGCCTGGGCGAAGGCGGGGTCTCCTGCTGGTTGCGCAGGGCGATCTGCCTCTGCAGCCGCAGCACTTCCCGCTGGGACTCGCGCAGGAGCCTGTCGAAGTCCCGCACGTGAAGCCACTGGGGGCCCTCCTGGGGTGGGGGGACGCGGAGTGGAGTCAGGCCTAGCCACCGTCCACCCCACGCCATCCGCCAGGAGAGCGCGCCCTCGGCCTTGAGGGAGGGGCTCGGATGCGCGGGAGCATGCATATCCTCGCATGCGTACATGCTTGGCCATGTGTGCGTGCATATACAGCCACATGCTTCTGCTAGTCCATGTGCAGACATCCACAGGAATAGTAACTCATTTGCTGGGCACGCACGGAGTGCCCGGCCCTGTGCGAAATGCTTTGTGAACATCCCTTCTTCACAAAAGTGTGAGATATGTGTGGGTTCAAATAGCCAAGCCCACTGGCGCACAGCCTCAAGCCTGGAGCACAGAAATTTCCAGGTCTGGGACTCCTGGATAGCTCCACCCCCTTCAGTTCAGGCTCCATCTCCGGCTCCCACCTGGGCCGTTGCCAGGGGAACCTACTCCCTAGAAACCTCCACCTTCCCGCCTCATTTGCATCTCATTAACATCTCGTCCACATCCCACATTTCAGGCAGGCAGGCAGCCCTGTGGAAGGCTGAGCTGGAAGGGGTGACCAGAGCCCTCTCGCACCTTGCCGGCCAGGCTGAGCCTGGCCTGCAGCTCCCTGCACTCCCGCTGCAGGGCGGCAATCTGCTTGTCCTTGGCCAGCAGGGCGCTGGCTGTCTCACTGAGGTCCCGGGCTCGCTGGTGGGCCAGGGCCTTCCGGCACAGCTCCAGACTGGTCCCCGGACGGGGCAATGGGGCACTCACCTGGCCAGAGGAGGGGAAAGGCCAACGGTCATCGCTGAAGGGTGGGGGCCCTCTGCCCCCTCCTCAGCTCCTCCCAAAAGAGGGGTTGGGATGAAAACGTAGAAGTGTGGCCTTCTGCTTCCACCCTGTGTCTGAGGGCCTCGGTGGACCTATGGCCTCATTTGACCCCATCCTGGCAGTCCCCCAGAGATGAAAGTGTTAACTTCACATCCTAGTTTAGGCCCAAAGCATGCTGCTAATTCTGGGTTGTCACCGGGATGGGTCTTCATCCCTGCCCCCACCAGCTCTGCACCCTGAGATGAGCTCAGCGGAGGCTGCAGCCAGCGCCAGCACGTGGTAGTCCAGAAATCTGCTCCCTGCCTGTTCTGAAGCCTCCCCTGCCAGCACTTCCCTCCCTCCTGTAGCTCCAGAAACCCTCAGCTTCCGAAACTGGCCAGCATTTGCCCTTCTTACACCTTGGCCCCTGGGTTCCTGCTTTCCTGGGCGCTACGGGCCTATGACTCCTGAGCCACAACCCCTCATGGTCACCCCTGGCTCCCCTCCTTCCTGGCCACGCAGCCCCCGTCCAGCAGCCTCCTACCCTCACCGCCCTGAGGTTAGTCTCCTGCAGCTTCCGGGCCCTCTCCTCCAGGCGCTTGGCAATGACCGCCAGCTCAGCGTTCTTCTTCTTCAGCCTCCGAACCTTCTCCTCCGTCTCGGGGAAGCTGCTCTTTCTCTGACAAGGGGTCAGGCAGAATTGGGTACATGTCGGGAGCACCCCCAGACCCCATCCTAACTGCCCAGCTCCTGGGCTAGAGCCCTGGGCTCACAGCAGGTCCTCAGCAACTGAAGGCAGGGATTCATCCTCTTGGGTCTTGGGATTATGTCCCCTCCATGTGGCCCCCAGTTGGAGGGATGTTCATGGGGTAGGGAGGGCACTGAGGCAGAGGACCAGGATGTCTGAGTCTGCCCTCCCTAGACTCCAGCCAGAACTCAGGCCCCACTCTCCAAGCCTCACCAGCATCCGGTTTTCCTCCTTCAGGATGGCACAGCGCTGTTGCAGCTCCCCCAAAGCCCTCAGCAGCTCCAGATTGGGCCTGTCCCCAAAGCCTGTGTTCAGCTTGGCCTGGCATGGAAAGGAGGGGACACCCAGCCTCTCAGTCATAGCCCTGCCTGTGGCAGCACCGCCCATCCATGGTCAGGGGGGCACAGAGAGGCAGGACGATTCTCCCCCATGTCCCAGGCCCTCAGAGAGGAGCACAAGGAGGCCTAGGAGAAGGGGCTGCTCAGTCCCCACCCTAGGGTCCTCCCTGCTATTCCCTGATTCTTCCCCCCATTGCCCATCTTCTCCTCTTCCTGGAAATGCCAGCTTAAGCTCCCACTCCCACCCTTCCAGTCTCCTCATGGCCCCTGAGTCCCCTTCCCTCCCCAAAGTCCTGTTGCCTCCTTCTTCTACGAGAGACTACTCACACCCACCCCAAACCTGGCCCTCCCTGACTCAAACCTTACTCAGCCCAGCCCTGAGCCCCCTTCCCTAAATCTGTTTCCTTTGGACTCTGATTCCACTGTACATCTCCACACACCCCCAGTATCCTCAGCCCCCAAGGACAGACAGACAGACTCAGGGAGGAGACACAGACAGACTGTCAGAAAGACAGACACAGGGGAAGAGGCAGGAGCAGGGCCAGATGTAGACAGACAGGCAAGAGGGAGTCAGAATGACAGGCAGATGGCAAAAAATGGAGCTACTGAGACTAGTGCCCAAAGAAGGGAGAGCAGATAGTCACAGAGACAGACTCACAGACAGAGACAGGCCAAGAGGAAAGGAGAGGTGGTTGCACATCCTGCCCTGCCATGTGCCCAAGCTGGAGGGCATGATGAGAGGCCCCCGCCTCGCAGACCCTGCCCTCTGTAGCCCTTACCTTAGCGAAAGCTTCCACCTCCTCGTCCTCCAGCTTTGGGCAGCTGGGTCCAGGGCTCTCTGCTTGCTGCCCTGGGGTGGGCAGCCCAGCCAATGCCCCTTCAGACTCAGTGCCCTCCACAGGCCCGGGTCTCTGGGCTCCCTCAGGCTCTGAGATCTCCCCAGGCCTCGATTTTCCAAACTGCAGAGCTGCCGGAGTATCAGCAACGCTTGGGGCTGTGCTTCCAGGTTCGCCCCCCTGCCCTGGAGTCCAGCTCTGCCAAAGGGGCACTGCCCACGGCTCCATGGCTCCGGGGTCCCCAGGCCGTGGGGGGGGTGTCAGTTGCTCCATGGTACCGCTGAGGGGCCCCAGGACCTGAGCTGGGGGACATCACCCAGCCAAGTGGAGAGGCTGGACAGGGTCATGCCAGGCCAGACCCTGTCCCCTCTGAGCTCTTGGCTTCACCGAAGCTCCATCCAAGATTGGCTGAGCTCTTCGCTACCCACGATGGGAGGCTGCAGAAGGAGTCGAAGCTGCGGGAGCTGAAGCCAGGGGTATGCAAGCTATGTTTGCTCGTGGCTTTATGTGTGAGTGTGTGGAGAAGGGAGGGTGTCCCTGTGGGGGCAGGGTGGATATGCAGAGGCCACCAACAGCGGCCCCTGGGTGAGGGTGATAGTGTGTGTCTCCAGGTCTGTCTGCGTGGGTCAGCGCTGGGGCGGGGGGGTGGTGCCGTATGTCACTGTCTGGGCCTGTGTCAGAGTTACCAGTTGTCTCTGTGGGGGGGGGGTCTATTGCAGGGCTATGGCAGCGTGCAATGCTGTCACTGGTTGTATCTGAGTGTCAGTGTTGTGCAGCTGTGTGCATCGGTGTCATTGTGTATCTGTCAGTGTCTGTGAGTCCGGCCATCCATCACGGCCCCTCAGCCTGACTAGGGTCCGCGGGAGCTGCTGGGGTGGTCCCCAGTGGTGCGCCGTGGTCCTTTATCTCCGCTCTTCTATCGGCTGCTGCTCGCTGCTGGGTCGCCGGGCTGTTCTAAGGAGGCCTGGGTCGATGGGCTGCTTGCCTCATAGTCTCTGTCCCTCTGGACTCGGCTCTGGGGACTGCAGGGGTCTGCTACAGCCCCGGAACCCCGAGATGGTGGGCGCGGAGGAGGGCTGAGCCTCAGAATCGGGAGCGAGCGGAGAGGAAAGTCAGCCCTCCCTTCCCCCTCCTCCTCCCCTCTCGCCCACCAATAGGAAGTCGGCTGCTGGTTTCCATGGCGATGGCGCTGGACTGGTGGGCTGGACCGGGTGGCAGGGTCCGAGCAGAAGGAAGAGCAGGTTCCTCGCAGGATCCTGGCCCAGCGCCCCCTACATGTGGCCTCCCACCCCTCATCCTCCCCACACGCCCTCACACCTCCCGGAGTGCAGAGGCAAGGGGGCTGCAGGCGGTCCGCCCCACATCCCGAGGCCCAGCCCAAAATGAGGAGAGATAAAGACAGGGGGTGGCATGACAGGCCGACAGACATCCAGCCATGAAGAACAGGAATAGAAAAGATAGGATTCGAGATGAGACAGAGAGCTAGACAGAGAAATCAAGAGGATGGAAACAGGAAGACAGAAGCAGAGATAGGGGGAAATAGGCTGAGAGAATTGCTTCGGTTTCCTCCTGGCAGGCCGCATTTGGGGGTGACCTGGCTGTCTCCGGCCAGCAGAGGAAACCACATGGCCTATTGGGCTGGCTTTGCCCCTGTCAGAAAGTTCATCTTCTGTCTAGCCTTAGGCCTTCTTGCTGTGGAAAAATGGCTTTTTGGAACAAGGACCTGGGAACTTACCCACCCATGAATCCACCTGTATGTGGGGGCGGGGGCCTAAACAGAGTCCCAAGACACAGGGGTGTTGGGAGAGGTTGTGGGGAGGTAGCCCCTCTCCTCTCTGAACCTAGACACTGTCCATGAGCAGACAAGCCAGTCTCAGCCAACGTTGGGGCCCTCCTGTGGCGTCCCTGGGGAATAGCAGCGGCACTGAACCACAGGGCCCCTGACTGGGTTCCACCCCAGGCAGCCTCTGACGGAACTGTGGCAGTGCACGGTGAGGAGGTTACACCCTCACTTCCCTAAAGCAGTGTGTAGATCAATATGCACACCACCACAAGATGTGTGTTGCCGATGTTTATGTCAAGGCATATATGCATGCCATTATGTGCATGCATATATATAGTATGCCTTATAGAATACATATATTTATTGCTGTGTGTGTGTGTCACTACTGTATATGTATGTGCTGTTAGGTGTCTGTGGGTCTCATTGGGTGTATATGTATGCGTGTTTCTATGTGTGTGTCATTGTGTATATGTCTATTTGCCAGCATCTATATGTATGATGTTATGTGTGGGTGAGGCTATCATTGTGTAAGTTTATAAATTACAGCACGCACGTCATGACATATGTATATGAATGCCATTATATGTATGTGTCATTGTATGTCATTGAACTTATTTACACAACTGTATGAGTGTCATTATGTATTGTGTATCCTTGTGTGGATATATATGTGTATGTGTGTGTGTGTAACTATGTATTTTATATGTATCATTATGTGTGAATGTGTCACTATGTGTGTGTGTATACCGCCACAGCATTGGTTGTGTGAATGTCACTATGTATACATTTGGATGTTCTTCTACGTCTGTTTATATGTATCTCTACCATTGATGTGTCATGTTTATATCATTTCATGTACTGTTGAATATGTATGTGCCCTGGGCGTGTGTATATCCCTGTGTGTCATTGTGTGACATGCCAGCCATGTCACATATGTATGTATGTCACTATACATGATGTGCTAATAGTATATGTGGATGGAGCCTCTGTGTGTAAAGACACACATATGTTGGGGTATGTGTGTCTACTTTGCATATTAGTATGTGTGCCCTTGTCTATGTACAAGATACTTCGCGTATGTGCTACGGTATGTTTGTACCCAATTCTTATACTACCAAAGACCTCTAGACTTTCTTGGATTAAAACTGAAGGCAGGCAGCCTTCAGTTTGGAGGGGTGGAGAGCAAGTGGAGGGCAGGGCAGCGCCAGACCTGAGGTAAAAGGTGGGAGGGCCCCTCATAACACTGCCCCTTCAGGTCTTGTCCCCTTTCCTCAGATGGCTAGAAGGTCCTCCCTCCAGTGGCTCAGGCCCCTCCCTCCTCCAGTTGTGAGACCTCATCTGGTCTCATTGGAAAAAAAAAAAAAGTCTTTGAGTGGATTCCAACTCATGACAACCCCCTGTGTTACAGAGTAGAACTGCTACATAGAGTTTTCTTGGCTGTAATCTTTACGGAAGCAGACTGACAGCTGGGTGGGTTCAAACAGCCAACCTTTAGGTTAGCAGTCAAGGGCAAACCATTTGTGCCACCCAGGGACCTTTCTGGTCTCATACCCGTTACAGTTGAGTCAATTCCAACTCATAGCAACCCTATAAGATAGAGTAGAACTGCCCTATAGAGTTTCCAAGGAGCAGCTGGTGGATTCGAACTGCCAACCTTTTGGTTAGCAGCCAAGCTCTTAACCACTGCATATCCTTGGGAGAATGGGAGTGATTCTCCTTCCCAGTCTCTCTGTGCCCCCATCCCGTCCATGTGCCTGCTCCCCCCATGCAGCCCCCCAACAACAGAATCTCAGACAAAAGAGACACAGTCCATTCTTTATTAGCATGTGGGGACCCTGATGCCACCACCCATTGCCCTCCATCTACCCTCCTGTCCGGCCTCTTCCTCATCCCAGCATCTGTCCACTTGCAGCTGGGCCCCCATTCCGGTCCTCTCCACAGCTGCGTCAGGGGTCCACATGATCCAGTCTTTCCCGCACCCAGCCCCCAGACTTCAGGGCAGCAGAGGAGCTGGTGTGGTGTGTCCCCTTTCTGGTTGACGGGAACCAGCAAGGACAGCACCATGGGGGCAGTGGAGGCCATTGGGGGTCTGGGAGGGGTGGTACTCACCTGTCATACACGGTCCTGAGCATCCAGGAGGACGGTGGCAGGCGGTGGCGGGCGGTGGCGTGGTCTCCGAAGCCCACAGTACACTCATCCATAAAGTAGGAAACACTACACCCTCCAGTGCTGTTAGTAGTGCTTTCTACTTTATGGGTGACTGCACTGTCTGTCTGTCCATCTGCGTGTACTCTTCAGGCCGCCCGCTCCTCCTCCAGACTCCTGTTTCGAGAGCCCCCCAGGCCCTCCCCGTGGCTTCCTAAGATCCAACCACCCTGCCCCTTGGCCCCAGAGGGCCCGCCCTGGGCCTTGTGGGAGGTGACTCAGCATGGCGCCAGACCTTGCCTCCTCTACCTCCCTCCCCCCACTTCCTCTTTGATTCCCTCTTCCCTTCCCCCTAAGGCTCCACCCCATCCCCCCACTTTGGGGGACATTCAGGTACAGACCTTGGCTACTCTAGAGGCCTCACTGCAGTCCCCAGTTCTTCGACCACTGGCTGACCCCTCCTAGCCACACTGCCCGCCCTCCAAGGCAGCCATAGTCTCCTCCCCAAGGATGGGTCCCCAGCCTCCCCACCAGTCCACAGCCCTGGCTCTCTCACTGCCTGGGTGCTCCCCAGGCAGGACCCAAGGGTGTAGCAAAGGGGATGGGGGCCATGTTGGGCAGAGGGAGACCCTTGGGCCTCTTGGCTGACACCACGCCCCACATTTCAGCCTCTGACCACCCTTCGTCGCCCCCACACTACTCTCCAGCCTTCCTCCCACAAAACCTTGGACACCTCTTTCTTCATTTGGGGGCCAGAAGCCATTTCACCTTCCTTGTACTAGAGGGACGTCAAGACCCAGGAAGTCAAGACCCAGAAAGTCAAGACCCAGGCTTTTGAGGAGCTGTCCAACCATAAAGACAGGTAGATATGGGGGTTATTCCACCTCTTTGCCTACAGCTTTGCTACTAAGCCTTGGCCCCCAAGCTCCCAACCCTATCCCCTAAGCATCTCCACCCAGGGCCCATAACCCAAGCCCCTCCTCTGCTCTGAGGCCCAGAGTTGAGGAGCCCCGGCTGGGGTTGAAGTAAAGGTTCTGATCTTACCTGATGCCGCAGGGTTGAGGGGAGCAAGCCCTGTGCTCCAGGCTCTGAAATGGGGTCCCCCTCAGGGCGGGCAGGGCTTATAACCCCAAGGCCACGTGGGCCAGATCTCAGGGCGCCCAACGGACTTGGAGCCCGCCCCCACACCGCAGCGCAGATTAGCGTGCCCCTCCCCTCCCTGGGGAGGAGGACAGACTGACAGGAAACCAAAGACAGGCCTGGGTATTGGTGGGAGGAGGCCCAAAGGGACCATCTCACACTTCCTAGGCAGGTGGCTTCCGGGCTCCCAGGCCTGCCCTTCCCC